TTATATTCATTCTTTGTGTCTCACTGTACTTAATTTTAGATATCGTCTGTATGCTTGAGAGATCGACTTCTGTATAATTTTTTATTATATATTTTTATTATATACATTTATATTTTATAAATTTGATTCAGAGAGCATCGTTATAGATCTCTCATTAAAGAGAATTAAGCGTTATTATTTGTTGAAAGAGAGTTGAGCTAAGAAAAACTCGCAAGTTTTAATACACTTCCCAAGGGGTGTTCTGTTAGCACGACATGCGTTGGCGGGATGTTATCTTGGCCTTAATTACCGTACTGCAAAGTCTATCGCAAATGCCAAATGAAAATCCATGTCATCGAGGCGAGTAACGAGGGTTCGGTCGAGCGAAGAGTGCGAAACAATGCGAATTATTGCGCACGGATGTTCATAGCTATTATGTAATGATTTTAAAACTATCGGCCGTAGCTGGATAAGTTCTCGGGGATGCACAGCCATCGAAATCTTCGGTGATGCACGATGAAGGCAGCCGCAGCTTTTGACCTTTGTCAATTTCTAATTCCTAATTATGCATATAACCTTCGAATATTTATATTAAACGAAAAGCATCGATCGGTGCTCCAGTGCGAGTTTATTCGTTCGCATTCGAAGTATTTTTATAGCAACGCGTTGTAAGAAATTTCATATTATATTTTAAAACATAAGGTAGTAATCAACATTTTTTTCCTTTGATAAAAATTTTACGCTATTAAATTTTTTTTATCATTTTGCGTTAGATTATATGAATTTTCTTTAACTTTAACTTCAACTTTTCATTGTATCTATAGTTTAAAGCAAACATATGTTAATCTAGAAATTTTTTAAAAAATTAACTTGATTTTTCATTTAATAATTAATGTATTAATTAACATATTAATTTTGTTTTTATACAACATAAATTTTGTGTTTGATAAATAAATAATTCAGCTTTAATAAATGTATTTGTCGAAATTAAAAGTGAAAGAGGGAGATAGACGCAGGAAGAAAACACAGATAAATTCGAAATATGTATATATTTTTATTTGCAATTATATTTAAATATTTATAATTCATTATAAATACTGCGACATTTTATTTGTCGATGCTGATTGGTTTCCTACGATTTATTGAAAGCGTTTCCAATTATCTTTGTACATACCTATTTTCGAATATAAAGTGATAGTTCAGCGTTAGTGCGCACGCAAATAACGCATATATACATATATTCACCATATTGCGTCGCGGTGAAAATTGCATGTCTATCTCGCCGCACAGAAAACCCAGAGTCGAACGCACGCACGCACGCACGCACGCACGCACGCACGCACGCACGTACGCATGCACGCGCGTACGCACACGCGTGCTTACTTCACTTTCTGTGTTCTAATTGCATTTGCCATCTATATGTATGTACGTGGCCAATGTGTGGGGGCTCTAAGTGCACTGTCGCCGTTGTGATGTTGCCGTTGTGATGTTGCCGTGTTATGCCACCGCTAGATAGAACCCGCAATATCGTGGATGTCCTGTTCGTCGTTATCGATGTTAGGACGATGGCGAACGGATATTTTTACGACATGATGCTTTCCCGATGTCGTGAACTCGCCGATGATGTTACGAGCCGATCGACCATGCGAGCTTTCAAGATGTTATGTGCACCACTTTTCCTCGTGCTTGCCTGAAATTCAATTTGAACCTGTACGCGCACAAACGAGATATTTAAAGGTTATACATCGTCCTCGGTAATAAGAGTTACACGTGTTCGCCCGATTGATGATTATGTAATAGTTTAATATAAATATATAGTTTAATAAAAAGCCAGCAACGTATTAATTTCATTCATTGATACAACACAATAACTTTTAATAAGTAAATAATTCAGCTTTAATAAAGTATTTATCAAAATAGAGAACCAGGTTTTCAAATATTAAAAAAAACATAGGAAAAGAGAGAGATTAATTTATAAACTGACTGTACAAACATTACTTGTAAAAATGCCTCCATAGATAATATTATTTGTAATTGAAATAACAACTGTTATCATCGTGGACAAACATATACGTATTGTAATAAAATATAAAAATTGTAAATTATAATATAACAATTTTACTAGGAGGATATTTTTCCCTTCTTCAATTAATTGAATATATCAACTCCCCTTTTATTACTAT